CATGCTTCATTCAAGTTTCCCACACAGATGCCCGAAGTGGAGCTTGGCTTTCATATCTACTGCCCACTCTGTGTCTCTCCACGTCCCTTGAAGAGAACTCGAAGGGGAGAAAATGATAAATGGTCCACTTAGATTTATTTTCGGTGTCCATCTCTCAGAACTTGCAACATAGATCAGCAGTTTTCAGAGCGAATTATGCTAATGCCCGCCCAGCCATCTTCTGCTCATTTCTTCTCCAAGAATGAGAAATAAGGAACTGTCATTCTCTTGTCTAGACTCTAACCAGCCTCCAGTGCCGCCTCCTCGGGAGCCGAGTAGCACATATTAGTGCTGTGAATTGAGCTTCTCTTTTTATTTTTTGGGGGAAATTTTATGTTATAATAATTGCCAGGGTGTGGTGGCTTCTCTTTCTCCAGAAAATAAAAACTGTCTAATTGATTCTTCAGCTTGGCAGCCTTCCTTTGAGAGAAATGTACCTGTACTAGGCTGCTGCCAATGGATCGCTAGTTGGGGGTGGGGAGACATCGCATGTAATCCATCGGGGACACTTTTTCCATAGTGTCCTGCATTTCCCATTGGATGCAGCAAGGATTCAACAGTTTATCCCAGCAGGCTCACTCCTAGGGAGCCGAAGCTCCTGCACATGGAGACCGTACTTTGAAATCCCTGATCTATCACTCTTGCTGCTTCTGATCCCAGGCCTCCTTCTGAATTAAAGGACACATTTCCCCTCTTTCTCTTTCTCCCTTTCCCTTCCCTTTTATTGTATGGAGATATTGATATGCTTCATTGCTTCATAATGGATAGATAGCTGTAGGGATTTTTTTTTCCCCTCTGAGAGGCATGACATGCTAGAAAGTTCTAGAATAGAAGTATAAGGACCCAGCTTTCCCTTTATCATTAACTCCTTAGTGACTTTGAAACTGTCCCTTCTGTGATCATTCCTTCCCAGAAATCTTGTGGTATTCTCCTCTATAGCGTTGAAAACCATGGATGTCTTAAATCATAGCTACCTCTTTCCTTTCCCTCCCAAATGCTTAGTTATTTATTTGCCCCTTCCCTTTTTAAAAATAAATCTGGGTCTTTCACCTTTTACCTTATAGAAACCTCTCCAGGGGGCAAAGAAAAGCTGCTCCTTTTTTTGTCACAAAGAAGAATGAACATAAAAGAAATTCTATAAATAGGATTTTGTGGAATGTAGAAGTTGGTCCCTAAATTTCCCATGAGACGTAGGCAGTTAGAGGAAACGGGATGATCATTTCAAATCTTCCTACATGCTCAGGCACCTAATGAACTTGAATGATTTGTGACTCTCTCCTATCATATGTACTCAGATTCCTTCCATTCTGAAAAAAAAGAGAAAACAAGAAATGCACAAAAATCACCACTTTGGGCTGCTTCTTCATAACTAGGCAAGGCTTTGATTGTCATTGCCCTTCTCCACATGTGGCCAGCATGGAGCATCACTACTGGGGACTTGTCTGATGGACAGCTTCAATCCCCCAAACAAGAACATCTACAACATGCTCAAAAACACGCCGCAAAGCCAAGGTTCCAAGCTTTCACTCCTTTTCCAGAACATTTCCATCTTCCCACACCCCCTATTTCTCAGAGTGCTCTTCCACAACACAACTGTCCTTCCATCCCTGCATTAGACTAGCTGGCCCCAGAGCATAAGGGGAGATTGTGCTCCATGATTGGAACTACCTGGCCATCACACTCCATATCCTGCACATAACCCTTTGAGAGCTCTGTCACCTGTCACTGGACCCTGAATACTGACAGAAGATGAGTTCTGTATCCAGTGTCTGGATGGATGAAAAGTCTCATTCTAAAGACTTGATGTTAGCCTCTATTTGAGTTCATCGAGAATGTCTTGTAGCCAAAGGACAAATCCAGAAGATGTTCCCTTCATGAGGCCCTACTTATCTCCCAGAAGCCTTCTGTCCCAAAACTTCGCAGCAGGTATCCAGCCCTTTGGTCACAAGACCAAGACTTTGTGTCTTGATCTTGGCTCCTTCTGGGACCCTGGGCTGGGCAACCTCCCCACAATTCCTGTACCCTCTCCTGTCTCCAAGGGGAGATGGAATACAGATATGAACTGTGTGACCTTGGGCAAATCCTAACCCTCTGAAATGGGACTGGGGACCCCTCCCTCACATGTGCTTACATGGATTCTGAGACCTCAGGAAGGAAAGGACCTTGCATATAGATGGTACCCAAGAAATCCCTACAGAATCCAAATCTCTTTAAGCATTTCCCGTCGGCTGCAGCTGACAGGGATGGTCCTCTGCTCTGGCTACAGTATTGCTGGGGTGGATGAGTTACCTTGGAAAGGGGATAAATGAAGAATTCTCCCTGGTAAATTACTACTTCTGCTAAAGGTTTGGTACTTCTATTTTCTTCCTGTCAGAAAAAAACAAAAACAAACAGACAAACAAAACAAAACCCAGTAACTATATACCAGGGCTCAGTCCTTCCAGGGAGCAGGTAGTCCCTGGGAACACTGCTGTGAGCGTCAGGAAAGGCCATGGGCTTTTCTTAATGAAGCCTTGGAAATTAGCAGCCTATTCAACAGCATGACTCAAGAGACTAGAACATTGTTCCTAGCAGAACGCAACAGAGATGGCCATCTCTGTGATGGGCGATGTGAAAAGCTCAGCATCCACTGACATGTTTTCCTCGGACTCAGTAACTATGCTTTGAAGGCTGTCATGGCCTTCATGAAACACTGAACAGGATGTGAATTGTTGGCCTGGAAAATGCATATGGGTGGGAAGAAGGAGGGGGCTAGCACGTGTGCCAGGGCAGAGGCGAAATGGCCTCATCTAGGCCCCATCCTGGCACACTCACAGCCATCATGGTTAAGTAGTGGATCTGGATTTGGATAGGGTCCTCTGGGTGCCAATCACGCCTGACAATCAAAGCTTCACCTGTCTGGTGCCTGTGGGAACTGTTTGCACAGGAGACAATGATAAATGGGCAGTCAGAGAAGCACTTTATCATCAGCTGGGGTCACAGAGGTGATGTGTTAGAACTGTCTAAAAGTGTTGAATGCAGCTCGGACATCCCCACAGATAGCCCAGAGCCCAGCCTTCAGGATTCCAAGGCAAATTCCACCTCTCAGAGTGATCATGTCCAGAGTGGGTGGGAGAGATGGACAAGCCGGTGGCTGCCCTAGGCTCTCTTCACCTAGGTTTCATTACCTCAGGGGGCAATGAAAGCGTAGTCTTGTGGCCTGAGAGAGGGAGCTGGGGAGCAAGATGAGATGAAACAGACAACTAATGAGTGCCACCAGCTTCATCACACAGGTTCCCATGGATATTCACTGCCTCAGCAGCCATATGGGCATCTTAGAGATCAAAAAACAAAGATGTGTAGATTGAGTTAACAAAACTACCCACAATCCAGCATCTAAATGCTGTTTGCCTGCCGGTTCTCGGTGGAGGGGACGGGGATCCAAACACCACCTCCCTGGCTTAGACAGAGCACCGCTGCTGACATCAAACTTAAATCTCATTCTTTTTGGCCTCCTGACGCCCCAGCAGAAGGGACATCAGAAGCATCCACCCTCCTCCTGGCTCCGTGACCAGGAGTGAGTACACACCACAGTGCAGAAGGGCTCTCCAGCAACGGGGGCCCAACCTGTGCAAAAGAACTTGGCCCAGCCTGTGCTTCTTACTCTGTGTGTCTGGGCCTGGGTGTGGCTGATTCGGGGCTTGTGTAAAACCATCAGGGTAACAAAGGGAGGTTCTGGTGAGATCGGGGAGGAACGGCTCCCAGACCACAGTGATGAATGACTTCAGCCACTTCAGTGGTGATCTGTCATTGCCAGGCCATGTGAACGTGACACAAGCAGCTGCCTGCACTGACAGGGGAGGGCAGTACTCATACCCTGAAATAGTAAGAAGATGAAAACACATAAGGAAGAAGTATGTCTTAACCATGGAGGTCCTGGGGCTGGAGTGTGGCTCAGCTGGTAGAATACTTGCCTGGCATGGATGAGGCCCTGGGTTCCATCCCCAGTACCACTTAAAAAAACAGGTGTGGCCAGGTGGTGGTGGCATACACCTTTCATCCCAGTACTTGGGAGGCAAAGGCAGGCGGATCTCTGTGAGTTTAAGGCCAGCCTGGTCTATAGAGTGAGTTCCAGGACAGGCTCCAAAGCCACACAGAGAAACCCTGTCTTGAAAACAAATAAAATAAAAAAAGTATAGTGGTGCACACCTGTAATCTCAGCACTCAGGAGGTGGAGGCAGGAGTGAGTTTAAGACCGGCCTGGGCTATATGAAACCCTATTGCAATAATAATAAGGATAATGATAATGATAATGATAATACGGAGAAAGAAGAAACAGACAGCCTTTGGGAGTAGGCAGGGTCTTCAAGGCTGTATGAGGTGCAGCTGACACAAGGAAAACACTAAAGCCAATAGACCAGAAAGGGGAGTGGCTTGCCCAAGTTCTCAGTGGCAGAGCCAGGATTAGGCTCAAGAATGGCTATCTCCACAGTCTTGCTCTTGACAGGCCATTCATTAGCTCCTAACTAAAGCCACTAAAGCCACAGTCTCCACCCCTAGTTCCCACTTGCAACCTCCCCCCCTCCCCCATTCCTCTGCTGACCTCTAAGAATTCTGGAGAGAAAAACATGGCCGGAGCAAAGACACATTCTCGCCCTACTGGCTTAAACAACAGAAGCTGGCTTTGCAGTGTGGAGGCCACTGCTGAAGCCCTGGCAGAGTCCTCCTAAGGAGGGCTCTCTCCCAGCTTGTCGCAGCTGCTTTCTCTGTGGTGAGGAGCAAGGAAGCAGGCAGGCTCTCCTTCCCTTAGTGTCTTCCTACAAGGGCACTAATTGGTCTGCTAGGGCCCCACCCACATGACCCCTTATGTTCCAAAGACCCCACGGAGGAGCGGGGAGTGTTCATTGGGTCGAAAATATTTGAAGGAAAAGAGCCGGAGGTTTCCACAGTAAGATAACATGTCGTCTTCCCTGTCATGGCAGGAACTGTAAGCTGAGTAGCAGCAGCCTGTCCATGGCTGCAGTGGACATCCTCTACATTGACATCACAAGGAGGTGGAACTCGGTGACCCTGGACCAGCGGGACTCAGGTACTGATGGCTGCCTTCACATCCTGTGTGGGGCCCTTGCCTGACAGGCATAGAGAGGGGCCTGGAGTCTGTGTGTCTTCTGTCCTTTCATAGTATGGAGGGGAGAAGGAAGATAAATTGGGTAGAACTTGAACCCTGAGGCACTGTCTGCCACCAAGGCTATGCAACCCCTCCCCAGATTCCAGTGCCACCATTAGCTTCCTTTTTTCTTTTCTTTTTTGCTTGAGGCTTTGACTCCATCACTACTGGAGGTAGACTGCTGTTCATTTATCCTTGTGGCCCTGCATACATTTTCTGAGCACACAGTGGCCAGGCCTTGGGTAGACTAGAGAGCTTGGCTCTTGCCTGGGAGGAACAATGTGTGGAATGAGGAGAACATAGCAGGAATGGGGTGGACTAGACTCCTCGAGGAAGAGTCTATTGGATAAACCAGTGACTGGGGTGAGGATGGATCCCAGCAGGAACATAGGCCTGTCTACATATGAACATGTAAAAAGCCACTGAACCCAGGCTACCTCAACTAGCTCCAGTGAAAGAGAACATGATGGGCAAGGCCATGGGTTTGTGGTGAACTTTAAATGCCACAACAAAGATGTTAACTATGATAGCCCATGCTTTGTCTTCCTTTGTTTTGTTTTGTTTTGTTTTGTTTTGTTTTGATTCTACTGCTAGGATCATCTACCTTTGAGAGGATGACTTTCCCATTGGTCCTCTGAACGGTCTAGTAACCATTACCAACATTTGTACAGCTTGTTACAAAACTGCAAAGATTCTCTCCTTAAGTTTCTGCGTGACCCAGCACACAGGTCTCAGGAGCCTCATTTTCACAGCCAGTGAACTGTAACTCTAGTGACTGAGGTTGAGAAGTGGTACCTGGCTCCATCCTCCCCTGCCCTCTGCTGTGTGTTCTACCTCTACCTCAAACACACACAGAGGCCACACCTGCGGGGGGGGGGCGTTGTTCCTCCTGTGAGTGGGTGGAGAGGACCCTGAAGTCAGAAGCTGAGAGATCAAGATGAGAAGTGGCTATGCCACCTCTTGCCAACATCAGCCCAAAGCCATGTTGCCTCCTACTCTGGAGTTTCTCATCTGTATATGTAGGTGTGTTCCCTGAATGGCCCTGATGGCTCATACATCAGCAGCTACTAATGCTTTTGGGGTCACTGTCAACCATTCGAGGTGTTCAACCTTGTTAGTGGATCCTTTCCTGTCTTACTACTGGGGGGAGACTCTCAGGAGCGGCTCTGTGACCACTGGAGCAAATCTGCCCCTTTCCAGTTGTGGGCTAGAAATGCCAACCACAGGGACACAGCCAGCCCATCCTGCAAATACTGACACTCAGAAATCATTTGAAGTTAGCTTCATGTTTGACTATGATGCCACCGGATACCACTGGTTGGCTGCTGCCTCTATGGCAAGCAGTACCATATGCTTTCCATGGATGACACTGCCTACAATTCCAGAGACAGATCTGACTGTGTTCACTGTATAGAGGAGGAAATTGAGTCTCAGAGGCATGAATGGTTTCCTAACTGAATTACTTCTTCCTACTGATTGTTGGGGCAGTGGTAAGATGCTGATCTGCTTGCTGCTCCTCTTAATTCAAAAGCAAAGGCAGTCATTGAATCAACAAGGTGAGCGTACATCTCCAACTGGCAGGGCTTTCCAGCCTCCCAGACAGGAGAGTAGGAGGGCACACTTGCAGGACATGTAGGCAGGTTAATTATCATTTCAAGGACCAATTGAGCCCATGTGACAGTTAAGCTGCTTCACCTTTTGCTGACATCTTCAGAAAGGGAAGAAGTGCTCTGTCCTGTCATGACAGGATCCTGTGGAAGGGACCAGATGAGTGGGTGGGGGTGGCAACGGAATTATTAAATATTGAGATTGATCAGGGGTCGCAGCGGGAAGCTATTTATTATGTTCCATTGCTTCCAACCAGCGTTACCATCTGGCCCATTGTTCATCCCGAAGAGCTTTGCGTTGTGTTTGCTCCTAAAAATCACTCCCTGCAAGCGGAACTCATAGGAGCAGGAGGGAGCTGTCCACAGTATCAGCTCTGCAAAGGGTTTCTGGGGTTCATCAGGGTCTCTCTACTTTGCTGACCAAGCCAAGAAAATGAGAAACATTCTTATATTTACCACAAGTGAAGCTGGGGCTGGGACTCCCAGACTTCTGCACCCATCTGCACCTGAAGGAGTAGAGCAGCAACTCTATGCGGGACATTCAGAGACTGCTTCACCAGGGTGTTTATTGTCATTTATTCTCGTAGCTTTGATATGTGAGATCACACCTGTCTTCCCAGGTGAGGCTCCTGAGGTTCCAAGAGCAAAAGGGACTTGTTTACAGCCTCAGCCAAGATTTGAACTCAGGCTTCAACTGTCTGGCCCCAGGTACTGTCTGTCCCCTGTACAACTGGGGAGGGGACTTGGCTTGTGTGGCAAGACTCAGGTGATGCAGAAGCAGGGAGGTGTGCTCACAATGACACAATGTGTTTCAAAGAGCTGGGAGAGAGGATTATGAAGACCTCAGGACAGAGAAATGATGGGTAATTAAGATGGTGAATATGCTAATTAGCCGGATGTGATGTCACCTGTTCGTACATGGACTGAATATCACACTGTGATATCAAGATTATTTTCTTTCAGAAAGTCACTTCACCCAGCACAGAACCCACGGAGGGCAGGGGTGAGGGATGGAGGTGGGGTGGACAGGGACTGGGGACAGGACAGCACACAACTAGAGTATGTGGGTTGTAGATGTTTTATCCAAGCTCTCATCTCCCCTACCCTTGTCTTTGGAGCTTATTTTTCTGTTTCTATTGTTGCTGAAAAGAAATGGCAGGGGACTGGGGGTCTAGGAAATGAGTTGGGCATTAAAGTCAGGAATGGAAGCCACTCTGTTATCCCCAGCTGCCAGCCAGGCCACTATTCCCTCCTTCTTAAGGTTGGCCCAGTACCCAGCCGTCTCTCAGTGGTACAGCTGTGTTACAAGGACCATTCAAGACACTCCCAGGGAACAGCAGAAAGCTGTGCTTGGGCGTGGTTCTTGCTTTTGCCATGAAGCAGCAGAAATACCAGAGAGGGAGTGAGTCCTCCTGTCCTTCCTCCCTCAGTCTCTCCCTCCTTCCCATCTGTCCATCTGTTCACTTCTTTCCTCTTCCCTTCCTGTTATGGAGCCGAAGGAACTTCAGGCCTCCAGTTCAGTTATATGCTGCCAGTATGTCTGTATCCTTCTGCGTGTGTGCGTGCGTGCGTGCGTGCGTGCGTGTGCGTGTGCGTGTGTGTGTGCGTGTGTGTGTGTGTGTGTGTGTGTGTGTGCCTATCTATCTCTGTGTCTCTATGTGTCCCAACTAGTATTTAATAACTTGACACACTGAACTTAAGGTTACCACATCCTCAAAACGGGATTCTGAGTAGGAAAGTCACAGCCAGCAGAAGCAGTGGTTTCATTGGCAGCCCTTGGATAATACCCAGTGTGACACACCAGCCCCTGTGCAATTGGGCTGGTGTGCCATCCACCCCAGCCCCAGCTATGTCTTAAGTGTTGTGGAACCCTCCCTTTCCCCAGAGCCCACTCAGACCTAATGGGACTGTGCTCAGGAGAAAAGGTAACAACACACACACACACACACACACACACACACACACCTGGTGCCTGAGAGTGTGAGAACAAAGGCAGCCTGTGTTTGAGGACTTTTCTACTGATGTGGAGGAGAAACTAGTGCTGGAAACATGGGTTGAGAAAAAGTCAAAAGTAGTAAGAAAAGCACTCATGCTAAATGTAGTAACTCTCAAGCCATCCTCTCCAGCAGCCTTGGTCCTGACTGTCAGCCGGCCTTGTTTCCTGTTGGGTCTCTTGCATGTGGAAGTGGCCTCAGCCGAGACCTTGGATCCTGAGTCACTTCCAGCATGTCTGTGTCTGACCTGCCTTTGTAATAGGCAGCACCTGTGTACAGGTGTGTTGCGTGTCTGGGGTGAGGGGCACATGAATGTGAGAGTGAAGAGCACAGGATAACTTCAGCTGTTATTCTTCCGGTAGCGTCTATCTGAATTTTCAAAATGGGGCACGTACCCGCCAATCAACTCTTCCCCAGCACTGGGATCACAAGTGTGCACACCACACCTGGGAGGTTGTTTCTTTATTTGTTTGTTTGTTTGTTTGAGATCAGGCTCGAAAGCAAGCATTTTACTGACTAAGCTCTCACTCCAGCCCTGTAATTAGATATTTTTAGTGATGGAATGAGCTCCCAGAAGACTTGACCCTAAACAAAAGCTAGACCTCCACAGTAACAGCCTCTCCACTTTAGCCTGTTCCCTCCTCCCCAACCCAGGAGACTTTTCTGTACCCTGGATAATCTCTTGGAATGCCAAGCCTGCTCAGGAGATTGGAGAAGCTTAGCAAATGTTCTCCAGCACACCAGTGTAATTGTAATTTTTTTCCCCAAAATTAAGGATTTTCATTCCAATCCTTAGAATTGCCAGTAAAACACCAAAGTCTAAATGAGGGTATTCTCAGCAAAACTGGAATGCCATAGCCCTCTTCTGTGCTAGAAGCAAATGAAGAAACCAATCTGCGGGCAGAGATGCAGTGATTTCAGTAAATGAACTCTCACAACTTCTTATCACCAAGATTTTTACTCTCTGCTCCTTCCAAAGTCAATGCCCATCTCCGTGGGAAAGATCAGGACAGCACCCTGATCAGGTGCCACAGTCACCTGTGTGGGGACACTTGGTCCCAACAAAAGGTCTCACACAGTCTAACACTTGGGGGCTCTGGATGGTCTGTGTATTTTGCAGCCAGGCGTTTTCCTATTTGAGAAGGAAGGTATGCCAGATCTGGTAGCACACACCGGAAATCCCAGCACTTGAGAGGCCAAGGCTGGCAGAAAGCTAGTCTGTGCTATCCAGGGAGACTCAGTCTTAATAAAAATTCAAAAACATAAACAAGCAAAGGGAAATCTAAGAATGCATAGTTTAATATCTGACTATGCTAGTTTA